CCTTTCACGGATGAACCATTTTGGGATTCTTAAAGGAAATCCCATAGGATTTTTATGTTTCAACGATAATAGAATTCCTCTTTGATATTTCTGTAAGGAAATTCAAAAGTCCTGGTTTTCCTCGTTTTTAGTCATATTGCGTGTGGAGATCCCGGGATGCAAAAGGATCCCGCCGATATCTCGTTCCCCCGAAATGCATGGAAAAGGCCGAGAAAAGGTTGAGAACGGCTGCTGGAAATAAAAAGGTCGAGAATCGCTTTAGGACCGTTGTTAGGATGCCCTCTCCGTGACATGACTGAATTTGGCTCTGTATTTTTTTTTTTTCCAGGAAGAATCATCCTACGCCCTTGAAACTCTAATAGATTTCTCACGATACAGTCTTTGGAGATGGAGCGCCTAATTTCAACTCTATCGCTCGGCTCCGTTGAAATTTCAACCGCGAACGGTGCACGACGGCAGCACTCGGCTGGTTTTCTCGCCTCACGTCGCCGCTGAGCCATCTTAAAATCAGATGGAACATGAATCATGCATGCAATGGTGGGTAGTATTAATAGTTACCGCTCGAAATTAAGAGACGTAAACGAGGAACTTTGGAGTGACTTGAAACGCAACGCAGTTACTTTGCATTTAGATGTCTCGTAACTTAATTATTTTTTTTAATAAGTAATTTTAATATCATAAAATTACTGAGTCACTTTTTCCAAGAGCCCCATGTTGCAATCTTCTGAGAACACAAAACATCGTAAATTAATGTGGCTTTTTTCTTGCGTGCTCTCACTCAAGCCGAAAAATTCCGGGATTAGCCAACTGATGAAGATGAAAGAGGACTCCGTGAGGACACTTTCCTTGCCTGCCACCCCTCCCCCCTCCCCACCTCCTCCCTCCCCCACTTTCACGCTTCACCCTATTGTCTTCGTGAAATGTCTTCCCACGCAGATGTTCCTAGAGATGTGGAAACGCGTGGAAGTCACCGAGTGCCAGGTCGGGTGAATGATGCGAGCGTGACGGTCGTTTGAAGCCAGAGCCGTGGAGGGTGACCATCCTCGCGGTAAATCCATTTCTCTTTTTCTCAGCGCTTTATCACCGATTCCTGAAATCTTCCCGGGAATGCAGCGTAGTATTGGCACGTTATCGTCTCGTTGGGGAGCATAGAGTCGATGCGAAAGACTACCAAAGTGACCTAGAAATCGTCCCAGAAAGCACGCCGACAGCTATTTGGATTCCGGTTGTCCAGCTGGGTTTCATTGCCAGTGACCATCCGTAAACGAAAGTTCGCTGGATCGGCTTCGAACCGGTCCGAATCCCGTCGACTCATCGTGACCATGTCGCCATGTCGAACGACAAACGACGTTCAGGGTATGCCAGAGGCCACAGACCTTCGACAGTCCTTCCATACAAAATGGTACGAACACAACCCTTTAAGATGCCCGTACAATTTCCCTCGTTTTGAATCGCCTGTTCCCAATCACCGGCTTCTCTCTACAGCACTCCCAAGTTTCCTTTGCCATCGCTCCCAACGGTCGACCCGGGTGGGGTCATCTTCCATCGAATCTCTTCCTCGTCGGAATTCAGCCGCCCATTTTACCCTACGGTCGGATGGCGAACGAGGCTCATAAACGCTCAGCATGTGAATATTCTATGGTGACAAGGCTTCCTTTCGTATGAACGAACACAGATCGGTGCTGACATTATTAAACAATCAGGAAAATTCATTTCCATGACAAAATAACACAGCGCATGAATATAGCTACAAGCTTCTAACTTCGTGGAGGAAGAATGCGTTTATGACACTATCAGCCTACACTGCTGCGTTTGAAAAACCCACAGTTAGTCGGTCCGAAAACTTATCGGGGATCTCTAGTGTGTGCCAAAAGGTTGAATCTTCCTGAAGGAATACTACCAACAGGCACATAGCGGTCGTCAATGTGTGTACGCCGGTTCGTCCTCTCTTTAATAACGTCCAAGAACCGGCAAGCAACATACAAGCAGTTAATAATAATAAAAGCAGAGAAACAGAAAGAACGAGACCATTTTTGTGCAATAGTTTTGCGCACGCAGTCACGTTGGGATATGGTATGATGGATGTGACGGAAAAAGCATTTGCGCTAACATCTAAAGGTCGTTTGTCTCGTCTTCAGCCGGTTATGAGAGGATCTTTCTGCTGTCATGGAATCCCTGGGTATTGAGCCTGAACACGATTTATGACTTATCGCACGCGATACGAGTGCTTCCTCATCTGCACCCTGTGGCAGACACGTCACGATACGTTCGAGAACGGCTTCAAATGCGACCCAGGGCCAAAAGGCCCGATGAATCAGTCGGCGCAAAGGCAGAGATTCCTCAGGGGAACGAGCTAGACTAAGCAAATTTCTGGTTCCAGCCAGTCGTACACCGAGGGAGATGTGCAGCTGCAAAATTCGTTCCTCGTCTCGATCGTGATGGCCAGGGAACACAGCGATGGGCGAACGGAAAGCGATACTTTGGCATAGGAGAGGCACCGCGATCGGGCTTTAGGTGCAATCAGAGAGATTGGCTGACTCCCAAGCAGTAAAAGCAAGTTCTTCATCCTTCATCAAAGTTCAAAGGAACGGATTGCCTCTAAGAAGCCATCGAAAGCGAATTCTATTTTGTGAAAAAGAAGGGAAATGAGGAAGCCTGACGATAGAGGATTTTCAGGTAAAAAAGGCGCGCATCTCGAGGGTGGAGGAAACGAGATAAAAAGGAAGAAAAGAGGTTTAAATTTAAAAAAAAGAGCCACATCCTTGATGTTACTTCGCACTCGCCCGCGTTCTTATTCTCCCACCTGACCTCAGGCACGAGCACTTCCCGACTGCGACGGGGAGAGGAGGCTGCTGGGGGATGTCATTTCGAGAGGTGCGGAGGCGACGAAGGTAGCGGATGCCATCTGCCGAAATGCGAAAGAAGCGATTAGTTACTGAGTTAATTTGGCGATCTCGATGGGACGCGAAGGGATTGTTTCGCCTCTTCACTTCGTCACGTCGCAAGATGTTGTGGTGTTCTCAAGATGTGAATGGGATGACGATCGATGGGGAGTCGATGGGAAGTGGAATCGCGAGACTTTAAAGTAAGAAAAGGCGAAGCCCCACATCCGATTATTCTCTTTTTCACAAGACTTCGTCTCTTCGAAACTTGTTCTCCGTTATTTCTGGCAATATTTTGGCTATGTCTAAGATGGATAAGGATTATATGGATAAGATCAATCGAAGCACGTTCAGGTCCGCCGCGCAGACGGGCGGAAAGCAAGAGGTGAAGAAAGGCAGAAAAGAAAGACACGACAGAAATCATGATCTGGGGCTATGTCGTCAAGAGACTTTCCCATCAAAAATCTTCATTGAATTCTAACTTTCGAATAAATTGCTCACCCTAAGAACTGAGAGCTCGCCAGCTGGGATCTGGCGCGTTATTCTTTCTCATAGATGTCGCAATCACATGGCATAAGCTATTAAAAAAATCAGTAATGCTTGAGAAATGCAGAAAGGCTCCTGTTAAAAATGTTGCATATGGAAGAATGGAGAAGGGAATAGAACGAATTGGCCGAAAGAGCCCTTCATGGACTGAATGTTCAGGGTTTAAGGTGCAAATTGCCAGATAAAAGCATAAAGTTGGCTATTACTATTATCATTTTCTCATGAAGACCCCAGAGGGCAAATGGAAATGTGGTCATAATCCGGGCCCAGAAGAGAAAGTGTACAAGAAATGGAACCATTTTCTAACGGTTCTCATGGCTTAGTCAGATGGAACCCGAATATGATTCTTGAGAGCGATTGTTCGATATCAAGAAAGTCGAGCAGCAAGGCGATTTGGGAGTGGTGACTTCAGAGCAAATTAAAAAAATCGACTGCGCTGTTGCACTCCCGGAGCAAGTTGTAAAAAACGACGAAACCGATGGTGAAGTGGGAAGTGGGTAAGTGCGAATGTGGAGAAGTATAAATAATTCATTAGTGGAGTGTCCTAAGGAAGAAATTTAGGCTGTCAGCTTCGTTTCTTTCTGGATGTCACCTCGCCTCAAGAACTTGAGTGTACAGCATGTCACTGCGTGACATGGTGTAGAAAAGCCGAGGCCCGAAAGATGAGCTCGGTTTTACTGCGCTTGTCGGGAGGGCAAGAGAAAGGAGACATTTCGAGCTCGACCTCGTAGAGCTATATGCTGAAGTGCAGTCACAGACCTTTAGAGGTACTTTTTTCACTCAGTGACGCCTGACGCCCTAGCGGAACGACCTCAAACGAATATCTCATTGAATCGTACTTAGTTCCACTGCGCCATATTTCGTCTAGTGGGGATAGATGAGACTGGAGCGCCATCAAAAAAAAGTTTTCAAACTTCGGACATCCTATGCATTCACAAGTTAAAAGGAGGATCCAGCAGCAAGCTGCTGCCCACAATCTACAATCTTCCTGTCCTCATTGCAACCTCAACCTTGGGAGCGATAACTTAGCGAACATTGACATCAATTTGGAATAGGGGACCTAATATAGACATATGAACAGGTGGGGCCTAAAGCGCAGTTATCATTTCGAGAGTGTTGACATTTACATGACCTGGATATCGACCTCACTTCTTACATCTAATGGAGAAGGAATGAAGGATTACAAATCGAGACCCTCCTCTTCCCTCTTGAAGCCCTTGGCTACCGCTGCATGCTCGCCCCTCTTCCTCGCTCTTGCTGACAGTCGTTTGTTCTTTCGTTCGCCAAAGCTCACAATCCGTGGAACGACCGAATGGCAGCAGACGACTCTAATGCAGAGGTTTCGTGCAATCGGAACATATAGTTTCCTGTTCTCCTTCAAGCAATCGCTTCTGCTGATAACTGCACTTTGATAATGTTCAGCCCAACGCTTGGACGTTGGCTTGGACGATTCCTCGGGTAGTTTATACCCGAAGAAGCATTATATCATGAATGGAGGAAGACCTCAAGTAGCCTTCGCAGAAATGCAAGCAACAAACAAGGCACTCCTTGAAATGAAGAAAGTACAAGAGGTTGTCAAGTAAAATTTTCTCTTTACTGATTTGACTCGTGTCAGGGAAGATCTTCAAACCAGCTGTCATATCGTCACCTAAGCGTAACAAACTAAAGGGACCAGTTGTCATCACGCGATAAGAGTTCCGATCTCCTTGTAGTTGCATTGTATTTGCGTACACCATGGGAGTCTCACAAAGAAGAGATGCACCCTAAGATGCTCTCAAGAATCACAGCTGCCTTTTTACCCCTGCTCTGCACGAAGGCAAACAGGCACGGCTTCACTAGATCACAGATTTCACGTCCGAATCCCCGAATTTTCGGGTTCATCTCAGGGCCACGCCGTTGATAGTGACTGTGCCACCAGATGAGCCATGAAAGCTTGCTGTCGACGGCGGAGATGCTGAGTAGCTGGAATTTGAGTAACCTCCCGTCTGCCTTGTGTGACCATTAGTCACTGGGTAGGGTGAATCCCCTTCATTCACCACATCGTAACCTCCATCATCATCTCCATCGTCGTGGATGTTAGGTCTTTGGGATTCACGGAATGTGGCAAAAGACATCACATTTGGGTTCGGGGGCTCTTCTCCAGGCCTCTTCATCACAGCTCCATTAGGAGTCTCATTCTTTGGCCCTCCAGCTCTTCGCCTAAGAGAAAGCAAGCAAGATCGTGCATTCAAGAGTTCCAATTTCTCTTGCATTTTCTTGGGCATGAAGGTAGAACCAAAGAGTAAAAAAAGTGTAACTAGAGGCGACACTCCGCTCGAATCCCATTTGTTGACAGGGTCGCAATATAGATATTACTGTCGATTCTAGAGTGCGCACATAAATAAATCCTCCATGGCTAAGTAGCGGACTCAACGAGCACGTGTTTAATGTTGAGGGGCTCCCTTTGGGTCAAATGTGTCGATTCCTGATTCCATGCTACGAAGCAACGCGAGGCAGCGCCTCGCAGAAGTGTTATTGATAACAAACCATTGGATGTCTATGTAATATTTTGACCTTCACCCTACCTCTCGGAGTATCGCCTCTAGTTACACTCTCTGGTGACCACTTAATTTGCCTAATGGTGACTTGCCAAATTCAATTCGCCGATTACGACTCGCCGGAAGTTCATTTCTTCGAAAGTCGATTCGCCGATTGACGACTCATCGATTGCTCAATTCACCGAGTGCTTAAGTCTGAATTATATCCTACTGAGTAGAACTCACCAAACATTCAGCTCTCTCACTTGAAGAAAGATTGCAAACGATTTTAAATGGAAAAACGGGGATCGAAATTCTTCACAAGACGGCCTACTATAGCCATCAAGCTTGAGAAGACTCAGGAGGCTAAATATAATTCCATCATACTCAGGTCATCAGGAATAATTTCTGCCTCTCTCTGAAGTCAATAATGAAGTTTGACGAGTTAAGCGTTCGAGTTGAGTAGTCGATGAATTGGCTTTCAACGAGTTGAGCATTTGGCGATTTGAGCAACCGGTGAATTTTCAATCGGCAAATTGTCATTCGACGAATCGAGTTCGGTGAGTTGTCACTCGGCAAGATGGTAGGAAACCCACTCTCTACCCTATGGTGGACCTCTTGAGCAAGACATACCCTCTAAGCCAGAGTATAGCCATAGCAATGATGATAAGGAGGGCTAGTCCAGCACCAACTCCAATCCAAAGACCAACAGAACGAGACGTGTCTCCACCTCCACTCCGGCCAGCTGGGACATTCTGGGCTCCTTCAATAGTGTTGTCTCCAAGAATGTCATATGGAACCTCTTCCACTATTGAAAGCAACACATTACTTACAAGATCATGGAGCCCATGTGATAAGGATCTCGAAAGACTAAGAGGAATGAAGACCTTACATTCACAGGTAGGGGCTGAATCTTCCCATGAGCCTTCTGCAGTGCAACGTCGAGAGAAAACTCCCTTGAGACGATATTTAGGGAAGCAACTGTATTCCACAACACTGTTGTAGATGGTGGACTGGTTAATCTGATATACACGCCCATTTTCAACTTTTCCCGGGTCTCCGCAATCCACCCCTTTGGACATAAAAAGGACTTGACTGATCCTTCTTGGTCTCAAAGAGAGACATCATTAAATGCTGTTCAAATCGAGTATTATTAGGAAGAAACTTAACACTGAATAATGAAGCACGGGAGGGGGGAGGTAGGAAAAACCTGTTCCTTTCAATGTGTAACTCAATGATTCCTTTTCCTTTCATTCATAATGATCGGAACAATTTCATTTGGACAGACAGCGCTAATGCCATGATAGACTGATTCTTACATTCGCAGTGAGGAGGCAGACCACTCCAAACTCCAGTTGCCTGGCATGTTCGAGTTGCAGATCCCTTCATCATTTGTCCAGTGGCACAGGAATAGGTTGCTTGGCCTCCAACATCATAACCATCCACAACCACATTGAATATTGTCTCTGTCCTTTCTGGCTCTCTGCAAAGAATTTCTGGAAAAGGGAAAAAGGGTCATATTGACTTCATACTAAAATGGGATCGAGCAAGCTGGTTTATTAGGTGATTCCCATACCTGAACAAGAAGGAAGGTCATCACTCCAAGTCCCATTCCCTTCACACTTGCGGGTCTCTTTTCCAACTAGCCTGAAGTTTTCATTGCAGAAGTAGAGAGCAGTAGCACTATAGTAAGTAGCATTCTGAGGTAGTGTGAATCCTCCGTTTTCAATCCTCTCAGGTGCTCCACAGTCCACATCTAGGGAATTAAAAAGAAAACTCTTCTAAGCCTTGGGGCTAGGGCAATTGGTGGATTGTTCTTGGAAGTGCTGGTTAGACAAAACTTGATATGATGTGTGGATTATACGTTACAAATTGCAGAAAGAAACATAAGTAGGGTACTTACAGATACAAGTAGGAGGTTCCCCTGTCCAGAGCCCTGTGTTTTCACACTGCCGGATGAGTCGACCTTCAACCTTGTATCCAGCTTCACAAGCATATGTCACAGTAGCACCAATTCGATATGTGACAAGTGGGAGATTTCCCTGTCCCCCAGGGCCAGAGGCAGTTGCCCTGGAACGGACGACGTTCTTCGTTCGATCGTTCCCACGTATGTTCACTACTGAATTCTGTGGTCTTTCTGGTTCCCCACATCGGATCTCTATTATAAAACATAAGGAACCAGAGGATACAATCAGCCGGACACATACCCAGAATATTAATCGAGAATCTGAAAAGAATACTGACCTTCACAGGTAGGAGCATCTCCACTCCAGTGTCCATCTCGAGGACAGACACGTTGGCTCTGCCCTAGCAGGCGATAATTTCTGCTGCAGGTGTACTGGACAACACTTCCCAAGAATGTTGTCTCATTCAAATACGATATGGTCCCCTTGAGAATCGGCTGGATCCTACCACAGTCCACAACTGCAAATGATCCATCAACAGATAGGATTAGGATATGAATTTAAAAAATGGTTACAGCTGCTGACAGAGCAAAAATATTCCTTACATTCACAATAGGAAGCGTCCCCAGACCACTTTCCCTCGTGAGTGCAAATCCGTTCACTTCGTCCAACCAGAAAATTCCCAGGTTCACAGGAGTACAAAATGATAGAGTTCACGTTGAAATTTGGCCCTGTGACGATGGCACCTGGTGGGACTTCTGGTTCCCCACATGTGATCACTAAGTGGAAACAACCATTTAACCTTTCATCTCCTATACCATGCTATAAATTTTGGGTTTATAGAACTTACATTTGCAATAGGGTGCAGAGTCACTCCACAGACTGGAGGCTAGACAAACACGTCTCTGAGGACCTACGAGCCAATAATCCTCCTGGCACTGATATTCCACAATGGAACCGACATTTGTGCTTCCGTTGAGAAGCTGCCGCACACCTTCATTCAAGGGTGGTGGCACTCCACAGTCTATATATCTGCTTAATGCAAAACTTTCCCATTACGAAGACATGAAAAAGTATCACTGAAGATGGTGATGAACTTAAATTACTAGCCTGCATACAGGAGGACGATCAGACCAGAAGCCTCCAAGAACACATGTGGCTGAATCTTGTCCTATCAAAATGTGGCCTGGTGGGCATTTGAATCGAGCCACTGAGCCTGCTTCAAAACTTGGGATTTCCACCGTCCCATTAGCCGGAGCATCCAAAGGCGGGCACCATTTATCTGCAAGAAAAAATCAGTAATAATGATATGACCTAGACCTAGTGCATCACACGGACACAAGAAACAACTTGACTTTGAGCTTCTACATGACAAGTTGCCTTGTCTTACTATAGCTTCTACATGACAAATTGCCTTGTCTTACTATTAATATAAGTTGCTCTTTTATATTCTCCAGGGGATAGAAAAATATGCGACTGAAACTCACAGAGACAGCGCGGATCCTTTCCACTCCAAGTCCCATCTGCTTGACAATGTCGAGTCTCTTCCCCACTCAGTGTGTGGTTCTCGGAACAGAAATAATGAGCTGTGGCATTATAGGTGGTGCGATCTTCGATGAGAGTCACGACGCCGTTCTCGATGGTGCCCAGGGGACCACAGTCCACAACTGAAACAGGCAGGAACGTGCTGTAAAGTAAGTTACAAGCTAAGATCAAAATGACGTGACGTGATGGCTCACATTGGCACGTTGGCGCAAAACCACTCCACATCCCCGACGGAAGGCACTTGCGCTGGCGATCGCCAACGACTTTGCTGTCCTGCGGACACTGGTACGTGATGACTGAACCGACCGAGTAGTTTGTGCTGTCCACTGTCGTATTCTCCCTCCTCTCTGGGCTTCCACAATCAGTTGGATCTGAAATAGGTGAACGAAATTGTTGCTGAGATCACGAGCTATGTATACAGTCAAGTAGGACCTATTGAACCGGACCTACTCAGTTGACAGATCCAGTGAAGATAGTCGAGATTGCAACCCACATCATTCCAAAGCCAAGCGTGATTCCCATCTAAAACCACGCAGTTTTGTTCCCCGTTGTAGTTGTTCGGTTGAGCACGCCCCCACATGGGTTCCGCGATCTCTTCCCCTACAAGAATACTCAATAAACTCCCAGTTCTCAGATCACGAGTTTGGCAGCAGGGCATCGAGAACTTACGAGTCGTGACCCATCTCCAAGTCCGTGATATAAAACCAGGGTCTTTCTGTGCTCCAATCCAGATGAGCTTGTTCTGGAGTTGATTCTTGATCCTTTCCAATTCTGACTTGACAAAATCAAAAGTGATCTCATTGAATTTGTAGATGAGATCCCCTCCAGAGTCGTTGCATTCCTTCCGGGCGGTATCAAAGGTCCCTTTCTTGGAGACTTGAAAGTCGTAGCATGTCTGATTGAAGACGACTGCATGGCTGTCCGAGTTCGAGGAGCACGACTCGGCTGAAAACTCTGCGCGTGGGACAAATATATAGCCCGTTAATAGAAAACTCGACATTTTAGTTTTTCAAAATGCAACAAGGACAAGATAGTATCTAGGATTTAGACTCACCCTCAGTGGTGAAGACTTCCACCTCACATAGTATCAGCTGTCCATCTGCACCGGTCATCTGGATGAAGACATATCTCCCTACCATTGGGCGTGCACAGACGAAATTTGAGACCCCTGATTCTAAAAGCCAATGAGAACGGAAAATTCCATTAAAATGTAAATTCAATAAAATTGTCTTTAAATGATCAAACTTGAGACTGGGCGGATAAACAGTAACGCTCATAATGCTGGTTTTCACTCTTCAACAACGGTTCGTAGCAAAGAAGTGCTTTGGGTCAAAAGTCACCAGGTCAAAGTTTTAATTTTCGAATATACAACAGGGCATTGAGTTCCAGCCCCACGCAATTCGTAAGAACCCTTGTTTTCCATTGCGCTTTCCTCTCGTCCATATCTTTCCAAGCAAGCTCAATGTCTAACACATGGGGAAAATACAATGCCTGAGATTTCACAGGGTCCTGGTCCAATTGGCATTGGGTAAATTAAAGCTCACTGGCCAACGCGAAAAGTTTATTGTTTCTTCTGGAGAAAAATATGCTTTCGTAGATTGGCAACTCGGTTCCATCCATGTCCTATGACAAAATAGGGGAGAGGGGGCTCTCACGCACTGATGCTGTAGGCATGAGAGAAATTGGAGGGCAACTAGGACAATAGAGATACTTATGGTCAGAGATGGAAAGAGACAGAGGAAGAACCGAGACCGGATTCATGGTGGACTGGCCAAGAGGAACTCCTCATCTCCTCCCAATGACCTTCAAGGTTTATTGTTTCTCTTTCACCCCAAGTAAGTGCTTTTCGCTTTTGGGTAATTCCTTTGGTCCGTGGCCGGCAATAGCGCACGGAGAAAAACTTTTCGATCGATATAACTCTAACTACATCGAGCACAGACGAGGAGGTATGATACATAACTTTTCCCTCGCTAGGTGAGACATTAGACCACGGTGAGGGAATCAGAGTACCGGGCAGAAATATCAAAAGAAGGTATCGGGTTGGAACGATCTGAGTTTCCCGTGCATGGAGCTATTTCCTGTCTTGCGATTACTCACTGAATTCCAGTCACGGCTCTCCAAATCTGGAAGGAAAATGAACGTGCGCCCCCAGGCCATCGGGCCAGGGTCGGGAATGAACCTCGCCAGTCCACCGCTTCACTATCGGGTCTAATCTGGCAAGCGGAGCTGAAAGTCTCACCTGCGCATTCAAAGTCTTCCCCATCATTCCCAAGCTCTCCTTTTCACAAAAATGCGGTCTCTATGCCTGCATGCAAGCATGGTGTGACACTTGGCATGCTACCAAGGAAATGTCGGCGTCGGCTAAATGTGACAAACTAATAAGCTGAATTGGATTTCTCTCTACTCGTTCATCTCGCGGAATCTCCTCAGGCTTCAAGAAGCCCTCATGGATCTGCTTCCCCTGTTTCTCCCCCCTCCTTCATTAAGGAAAAGTCATTTCATTACGTAAAAGGGCTAATTTTCTCACTCTTAGAACTCAAAGAGAAAATTTCCGGAGCGCTAGAAAGCGCAGAAGTTTCTCTGGACCTTTGACAAGCCTTCCTGCTTATCCCTTTCAAAAATTAGGTTCAATAAAAATGGTAACTACTACATATAACTCATTCTACACATTTCTGAAAGGAAAATGGGGCGCGGGAATGGAATCTCTGGTTGTGGGTGTGTTACGTCGCTTTCCCTTTCCACATCATAAGGGCGTTCCACGAGGATGACTGGCTGGCTTCTCGCCAGCCGAGCATAACATCTTTCGTGCCCCTTTATACTCATACCTGCCCTTCATCTTCAACTCGAATTGACAGCACTTACTCAGTTCCCCAGGATGCCAGGCGCAAAGCGAATTATCTCGAACCCGACTGTGGTTCCCAACTCGGATCTCCAGGTCATGCAGAGCCGGCAACTCTGTAAACAAGTCACACAGATCAATGTATCCCTTGAATCAGGCATCTTCCTCTATATGAATTGCGATGAAGGGAAAGGCTGAGTCCGGGATACCTTCTCCGGCTGTGGTAGAGATCCGAACGACTCGGACGCTGTAAGGCCTGACGAGGTCCACTCTCCACCATGGAGAGGACTCAGCCCTAGTCATGAAACACGGACCACCATCATGGACAGGCGATGAGTCGCCGTCCGTCGTCAAACTCCCGCCTCCGCCAGGAGCATTGCTACTGTGACTAATCGGCTTCCGATATGCCACATTCGTGGCTGCCGGTTCGTCAAATCAGAGAAGGAACAAGGAACAAGGTGAGGAGGTGATGATCGATGAGGAGGGTCAAGAGTAACAAAGCAACCATTTACAAACCCTCTCCCACCGTTGACAATTGACCGAGGTCGGCCGTCCAAGAACCACATTATCATCAACAGCATTACGCATAAATCATGCATGAAGGTGAGACCTTGACCTGAAACAGGATGGCTTACCACAATAAGGAAGTTCCCCTTTCCACTTCCTATTTTCTCCACACGTTCGACTGGAAGAGCTGAGAAGAGACAAACCAATGCGGAAGTTTCACAACTCTTTACCATCTCGAGGAGGAATAATGAAACTAAGAGAAAGGAAGGAAGGGACGGAAACATCAAGCATTATGATTATGACATTCTTTTTCATTGACCATTTTTCAAGAGGGAAAACGGGGACTTTTGCGAGAAAAAAAAAGTCCTTCCTGTTTGGCGATCGGACGATTGGGAAGAGGACGTACCCAAAGAGCTCGTATCCAGGATCACAGGAAAAGGCAGCGACTGTACCAGGGTGGAGAGATTCTTCTGAAAGAGCAAGTCTTGCTCGAGCTGGGACTGCCGGTGGCGGGCATGACAAGGATCCCTCACCTGAGATTCAGAATAGAAGAAACAGAGTTTGATCAAGGGGGGGATAATCTATCCTCGGATGCCGTCATCTCACTTGCATCTGGCTTTTGATTGGTGGGAATCTCTTGCAAAAGTCAGTCACGTCGCAGTGAAAGCTTTCGTGTTCGTGATGTTCTGACTTGTCACGGATACGTCGTGTATCCCACACATTAAACAGCCCACACCGTTCTCCCTCCTTACTTTTTCGTCGCTATCAAGTCTCTGATTGAAGGATCAGATGAATGGAAGATAGGGAGGGGCCGACGGGGAGATTCCCATGCCCGAGGGGCTAGCCCTTGACAAACTCCTGTCAACTGTCACATAGCGGACCCGGCGGTGCCCATGTTTCTCAAATTTCCCTCTATCTCCAGTCCTGTCCGTCAGATTCTGACTGGAACCCCTCATTATTATGGCTCCAGGAAGAGATCGGAGAGTGGTTTGAGACATAACCGGTCGTTTTTTGATATAGTTGGAGCGGACAGGTCGGCGGGGCCACTTTCACTGCGAGTCATCACGCCACGTGGGGATCAAAGCTAAAGGTCAAGTCATTATGGCATTCTATGCAAGCCAGAGTCAGGAAGAAGCCAACGGCACAACAGCGCTCTCTCTTCACTCAGGCGTTATGCATATGCCCGCCCTGCCGACATATTCATAACCGCGCCGAACCAACTGTTAATTTCACCCGGGGTGCAGTTAGCTTCCGTTGTTTCACTCTGGAATTTTCCCCGGAAAAAACCCTGCAAACATCGTTACTATCAACTAACCGTTCCCATTCCCCAATATTGTGACATATACCAGAACGTCTAAATTCTCAAGAGTCAGTAATAGAAAAAATGCACAAGTATACCGCATGCATGAAAGGAAGTTTCCAACCAGATCGCAGTTGACTGAAAGCGTGACAGCGCGGGAAGGAGTTGACAGAGAAGAGACAAAGAAAGAAAGAGAGAAAAGGAGCTGTTTACGTTCATGGCGATGTGAGTCTGCATCTGTAAGGAGTGGAGCTCGGAAAGCGTGAAATAAGCCCCTGGGTACAGCCACAGGAGAAAGTCATACAGGGAAGGGGGGGAGGGTGAAAAAGGGAGACAAAAAGAGGCAGACTATACAATTCAGGTCACCATTAATTTCCCTCTCCCCTTGTAACGACTTCACAAAATTGAAAAACCGTGTCTAGGGAAAGGCATATGGCGAAGGGGTTGACGGTGCATGTGCTTCATCACTTATAATAAGGCAAGTTGGGGATGGCACATAGACGCAAAATTGCACACCTCCAAGCACTGCCAGTCATGCAGGTTAGTGGACCTCATTTAACTGAAATATTCACACTCCGGGCGCATGTCCCCGTTGTCTTCCTTCCTTGCGAAGGAACAAATAGTGAATTATTCGAAGGAACCAGTGACCCGAAAACGCGTGTCTCCTAACAACTGAATCCCCCCGTGACAAATCAGAGTCAATGCGTGAATCCCCTTCTTCCCGAATCCTCCCAGTCACGACAGACTGTAGGTATTTAGCCATGAAGGCTTCTCTCACGCCTAGCTGGCGACCTACTGATGAAGATGACAAACGGGACCTAGAGATAAGCTTCACGATCCGTTGATAGCATTTCGACCCAGACTGGGCATTTGGCCCAGTCGGGGTTTGTTCCGAGAGCCCGGCGGCCCAAACTCATGTATTCAGAGTGACAATCGTGCGCAATTACGCCCACAAAAGAAAGGCGCAGAGACGGGGGCGTATGAATCTCGATGGAGGGCACATACACACTGGATACCCCGGAGTCTGCATGTAAACCCAAAAGGTATGCATGCACATCGTAGACCGAGAATAAAGTCTGCTGGATCGAGGAAATGTCAGCAGTGCATGGGAAGTATATGAGACATAAAACTCTTGAGGTCACTTTTTCCTCACGCCCTTGCCAACCATTTGTCTCGAGACAGTGAGCTGGACGGAAGGTATCAAGGCTATAAACGGACAGTTAAATCGCGAAAACACAAGGCATTTCCTCAATCCAAGGCAGTTTCTCACGACCCCGGAACGACGATGTATTAAAAATAAAAAACATGCCCAAAAGGGACTTTCTCTTCAAACAAAAATATGGAAAATAAGGGGGGAGGAAAAAAAAAAGAGACAAGGACGGCTTGGAAGTCAAGGTTAGATTCGATAAATGACTGGGGCTGACACCCACTCAGCCAGGCCCATAACACAGAGAGGGGAAGGGGAAAATGATACCAAGCGAGGAAGACCTTCGCTTAGCTTAGATTCTCCTCGATGGAGAACGGAAAAAAAAAATACGGAAAGAAAAGCCCGGAAGGGAAGGCGTGGACCTGAAAGAACAACAAAGACGAGCGTCTTCGACATGCTGTACATCGTGTAGACAAAGGACTCCATGTTCAGACATTTTTATGTGCTGATACCCGAAAAAGGACCTCGACGCATTGCATAACAAAAGTGAGGTATAGCCGAACATGGTAAGACTCGAGGAATTTGTATTAGCAATACAAATTGCCACCTTCATAATGTACGTTCGCGTCGATGCATAAAGTTAGTGTACTTTCTCCTTCCACCAAAGCCCCTCAGTCCCACGAGTCTGTCAAGTTTCATCCGCGATGGGTGATGCACATTTAGAGATCTCTAATAATTGAAATAGAATATATTTTCTGTCCTGACGACCGAACATGCAGGGGGACATAGACCAGACACTTCTCAACATATTTAAATAAACGAAGTACCAATGGGTTCACCTCGATGGCGAGGCATGGTCCTATGGGGGCTCCAATCCCTCATTTAGAAAAGAAACTTAGAGATACTGAACATTTAAAACCCCCCAAAATAGAGGATATATATATTGAGTCGAATTTGACATATGATACTTGCGACTCGTCTTTCTCTGGGGATTAGCCATTAGGGAGTATCACTTTCTGAGCTCCTAGTACTGGTTCTACTAAAGGGAGATAGAACGAAATGAACTAAATTCAAATGCATTACTGAAACAATATGAGTAAATGAAGCAGGCACGAACACTACAAGTTTCTCTATGCAATGCCAACTACGTGCGAGAATCAGCCGCGCTGGCATAATTTTTTTTCTAATTAAGAGCCAAAATCCACTTTACGTTTCAAAATGGAATCACTACGGATAATTCCCATTATAAGCATGATAACTAGATTTCAGGGCTTAAGAAGCATAAATCATTTCCGGATGAGGGCATCCTTTTCCATAGCTTTGAGTATTTTGCTAATCCATCACTTCACAGGAGATTCTTACGCCCTCAGGCCTCGCTTCTTCCTTTTACTCCAATGATCCCCGCACAATTCTTACTTTGTATTGTATGTAAGGATTTTGACTTTCTCTTATATTCCTAGGTCGTGTACACAGAAAATGGTTCATTATTTCGGGCTGCTGGTACCAGCATGCGAGGACTTCCCACGATTCGTGAGCTTTTTTTTTGGTGTCACCACTCGCTTTCAAAGAAGTGGGGCGTGGGATAGAAAGCCAACAAACTATAAAGGGGAATGGGGAAAAACTCAGTACAGATAGCTCATTTATGCTCCCGAAAGCAGGCCTTAATATAGGGGAGAACTGATTTTTCTAAGAGTTACCCTGTGTTTCCGGCTCGTGTATGGAGAAGGACGCGGGACAATGGAGCTACGCATGCTGAAAACGCGTCCACGTCGACGTTTAAGTTCCCCGACTGACTCAGCTCTTTCCTTCTCCTTGTCCCTGCCCCTGTTAGCGGGCCTATACGCCTCAATGAAATCACGCCAGATCGACTAAAGCCCTTGTATTTTTTTTTCTTCGACTTCTCCCCCAACTGCAGCCTTGCATCGCCCCGACCGTACGTGATGTGGGGAAGTTGTTTACCAAGAATGGCTATTCCGTGAGAGAGCCGAAGCCGCATCGGTTGTTGTTCTACTTTTTAAACTCACAGAAGCCCACAGATTCCGAAATGCAGGAAGGATGTGAGAATTGGGAGTGGGGCAATCGCTAAAATTGCCAGTGTGAATTGGAGGAATGCTGAACCTTTAAGCATCTTGAAACCCAGCAGATCGAACGTCCTTTCGCAAAAGAAGTTCAGTTTCGTACTTCAGCTTAAAAGGCGAAGAAATTAGATTCATAAGGCCTCCAAGTAAGCACATGGGTTTATGCAAAATATTGACTCGCAGCTAAAGAGACTGCATGGGCGAGAAAAACCAGTCGAGCACTCGACCTCAATCCATGGGAATTCTAGTTAGCGTAAATTGCAAGGGAAATATGGAGTTCCACCAGAAACGGAAGTAGTCCGGAGCAGAGCGTTTCACATTCGACGGACCAGGACACGAAACAAAATTAACTCGACACGACATATTTTGCCTATCAAGATCTTGGAAGCTCACAACCTTTTCTTACGTTGCGTGGCGCCATATTGTTGGAACAGATATAAATTATACCTTTGACCAGAGTGTGTACGGAAAAGGCAAGGGCAGCGGAACAAAAGAGGATCTCTGAAGTCTGAAAGCAGGAAGGACGGCGCCGTCATCACCTTAGACCGTGACCTTTTTGTGCGAAGGAGGAGTTCAGTTATACGTATCCTCTTCACGCGCACTTTTTTTCCGTGAGGGCATCAGGTGACCAAAACAAAGCCATCCCGTTCGAAAAGACACCATCATTATCCCGCCGTACTGAGAAAGTGAGTGAATGTGAGAGAGGGGTCGAGACGAGAGATGCCATCAGCCATTGTCCTCCCCTCCCACTTTTCTGTCACTCAGCTAGTTATTTTTTCTTCATTCTTCGCTCTTATCACGCTATGACCCTGGATTTCTTTTCAAGACGACGAATTCGACAATGAACGATTCCCATTGTCCTGGCATACGATGACAGCTATTTCGGGTCTTGACGACAGTACAGAATCAAGACTTTCCAAGGACGACGTTAGGATGGGGTAAGACGACGAGAGCACCTCAAAAGAACATTTCGCATACAGTAAGGGCGATTTTCATCACTGGGCCTACATCTTGTGATCTAGTGAGCTACTTGCATTCGTCATTGCGTAAGACGCACGGTACCGGCATATCTCCTATAGATAAGTAG